GCTGATTTCAAGTCGTAAATAAATTAATAGATGATTAAGTTGAGATGTTGGATTTCGACACATGAAAACTAATTCCGACACAACTTGAATTGGACACACACAGATCGTTCAAAGCTTTGTACAAAAATTGAAATTTGCTTAATTAAAAGCCTAATAGCTGTTAATTAAAACATAATTAAGTAGTGTTCAATATTCGTTAGTGTTCTAATTCAAAGCCATGTTGTATCCCAATACAGCTCACACAGCAAACGGAATTCGAATATGTTGATGCCCACTGTGCAGAGAATGATCGAAGATTTAAAGACCTACGGCGACGCATTATCGGCAAAATTTTCGCCTTCAGAAGATCTTGCCGACACATTTGCATTGAGAATATAGCATTTTAAATATTCTCCAATCTTCGGCGACGCACTTCAGACTCTTCAGTGGGTGTGGCAGAGGTAGCTGCGGCAGGCACCAGCAGCCCAGACCTCGGTAGCTAGACTCCTCCAACTGCTTAGACCGCTTAGTATGTCGTCGACCCGTGAGAGAGAAGGTTGTGCACTTGCAGTTCCAATTCAGTCCAGAAATGAACGTAGATGTAAATTCGTGTGGAAATAGCTTCTTTTTCCTCAGAAAATAGTATTTCAAGCTACATCTTACACTATGGATCAATCTAATAAACGGGATATTCAGCAGGTTGAAGGCAAGTGAAATTTTCGTTCTTCTGGTTATGAACTTTCGTGCTGGGCGAACCCGAGTTGCATGCACTAAACTACTAGTGACTACGACTAACCGGCGGACTACCGACTACGTGACATATCACATACCGCATACGTGTTAGTCCTTGTCTCCTTAGGCTTTCTATCCGTCTTTCATTAGAAATGATGCAACAATTATAAAACCGCGTTCGGTTGTAAAAGTTACAAATTAACTGACGAATCCTGTTTTATCATACTGGGAGTTCTAATCAATGTTAGGTATTTGGATGAATGTAGCCTATTTTTTTTTGTGTGTGTGTCTGGCGGCTGCAACTTGGAAGTTGGAACCAATCACTCATCCGTAGAGGTGGAGTCTACTTAAGTGCATAACTAGGCTAATATACTAGGAATCCTTACATCGCGTGTGTAATTTAGGTCTAATCAAAATTTATCTAGGCTAAATTTATTAAGCTCTTTATCAAGAATACGCTAATTCGATTGTTCCCAGAGGCCAGATTTGTTCTAGTAAGAATTTAAGTAGGTAGCATGGTAAATGTTAATTTTAATCAGGTTTTCAACCCCGAAGTTTATCAAATTGTAACCGATTTTGACTTAATAAACATAATAGCTGACGATTAACAGTACGCATACGCTACTGGCTACTGCGAGCGTTGTCAGAAATATTTTTCTCAGCTTCGTCTCAACGTAGCTTGCTTAAAAGTTAATGCCGAGCGCATGGTTGTTGACTGGTAACTTTAGGTGCCTATAGACGGCGCAAATATTTGCGGGATGTAGGTACTTGCGTTGTCTACTCCAATTGCTAGTGAGAGCCTATACAAGATGCCAGTATTTGCATAACAGTTCGCAGGCACCAGTGCGACTTTGAGAGCTATCGAGTGACGTGTATGACTACTCTTCCGCTTAGTTATGTTGGAATGGTCGTTATTGCGTACATTCCAAAGTACTTCTTACGTCTCCGAGAACAATTCAATATCATCCGCACCACACTTCACGCTTTTCTTACAGGAGTCTTTGCTTGAACTAGACAGGACTTGCATCACGAATGTCACTTATCACTAGCGTCTAGCAAGAGCCAAGAGATAGCAACACCAATACGCTCAGAACAGCGGCCGGATTGGTAAGTAGCTACTGCATCGGCCAACTTACGCCTACGAGCAGAACAGTTTCATTTGTGTGGTCAGCTTCTTCACTTCTACTTGCCTCCGAACTCGTCGTAATTCCCCTCATAATTATTACACGCAAATATTTGCGGTGTATAAGCAATTTATTTTTAATTTGATCGATATCAGTTTCGATTTGAGAAAGTTCTGCGTGGAAAACCTGATGTGAAAACCGTTCTAATATTTTCGTCCCAAAAATAAGTTCCTAAAATATCCATATGCTTCTCTTGATTTAGTTCTTAAGTTAAGCTCCCTAAACCGACGCGCCAATTTTGTCATTCATTTGGGGAGCCGATTTGTCTTGAACCGAAGAAAATAATTAAATCAAATTCGTAGAGACCTTCCAGATTTGGTTTGGTTTTAAAAATGATTGACTGAATAATGTGTTAGGACCCTCGGCAGCTGTATATGGTATACTGTTGAGAACAATCTCCATAAAACACTGCATTGCATGATGCAGCTTTGGATAGCGCGTAGAGCGCCTCAGTATAGTTATAAACACCGAATCGGATCCTATATTTTCTCGCTGGTATTAATTTTCGTAGTTTTCAAATGTTTTTAGGTCATCGCAGTTCACCAGGTATGAAATTTCTTCAGAACCTTCTAATAATTTTACTTGATATATCGGCAAGTCTATTATAGAAATTTTTTATTCTCCGATAAGTGTTAACTTGTTACCAAAATTACAGAATTCTAACTGGGTTATTTGTTCAGGAAAAAGCTGTAATTTTTAATTATCATTACTAATCTTTGTATCTGTTTTGGACGTAACAGTCCTAGACTACGCTGGAGCGTTGCCTCAGTCGTGAGAATTTATTTTTTGTGATTCTTTTATTTGCCTTGATTTCTTGCAATTAACATTCCCGATTAATAGTTTTTTTTCATGTGCAGGGAAGGAACCCAAGACCCAAGTGGAGGAATGGAGGAACCTTTTCAAGAAGCAACGTCAAGACTGCACTCCATCTGTTTCAACTTCTTCTTCTTCGAAGAGAAAATCTAATATACGAGAACGGCGCTGTGCAGGTGTTTGTTTGCTATGTATTAAAAACGGCAGCGTAAATTACTTGTTGGTGGACATGTTTCCAAGTACGATAGACCGGCACCAGAGGCGAAACCACCCCAACGATACCTTTGAGAAAGGAAAGCACATCAGATGTAAAGATCATGAAGACGTAAAAAATCTTGAAGCAGAAATAGAAAAAATAGTGCATTTTTCAAAACGTGTTTCTGCTTCTCAGCCTGACTTCAGCGAACGTGCCTCTGCTTCTCAGCCTAACTTCGCCGAACGTGACTCTGCGTCTCAGTCTGACATCGCCGAACGTGTCTCTGCTTCTGAGTCTGCCTTAACTGAATGTGCCTCAACTGAATGTGCCTCTGCTTCTCAGCCTGACTTCGCTGAACATGCCTCTGCTTCACAGTCAGACTTCAGTGAACATGTCACTGCTCAACAGATCCCTGAAGAATGCGAATCCTCTCTGCATTCTCCAGTTGACGTAGTTTCTTCTTTCCAACGAGACTCAGTTCCTTCCTCTTCGGCTGAAATGAAGTGTTATCAGAAGTCAATTGATGGATTCGTCAGTAACCAATCACTTAATGAAGTACCTCGAAAGATGAAGCCTGCTTCATCCACATGGACACTCGATCAAATTGGAGAAGCCGTTTTGGATGTCAAAAGCACACTAATGAAAATTATACCTACGAGCCATCAAGGAAGTCCTGCGCTAAAGGATAGTTCACCTTCAACCGCCGCATTGTATAAATGTAACAATCTGAATGAGGTTCTTTCTACTGAATTGTTCACTATTGTACAGCATCAAAATGAGCGTTTAATACGATGTTCAGCATGCCATAAGTACGCCACACGTGATGAGCTTATTACCAAATTTTCGACACAGTTCAAACTTCCCTCAAGCGGCTTATCTGTTGGGGTCTCTCTTGCAGAAGATAAAATAGAGGATTTCCAAATAGGTCACAGCCAAGCCTGGTACAATTTCAAAAGTCGCCTTGTGGCCCATATTCGGTCAGGGAAAGATTCATTCCACTGGAAAGCAACCCATGATACTGGGACAACTGGAACTCCGTCGATGATTCGTTCTGTTTCTGTAACTGAAACTCTCTGCCGTACAGCTATCCATGTTCTGAAAATGAAAGGTGCCGCGGTTCACTTTGAAACTGAGATTGCATTCTTGCAATCGTGCAAAGTGGATGTCGGAGACATTGGCCATTCAAGGTAAGCTCGGTACATTATTGGTAAAAAAAACGCTGAATTACTTAGACATGAATTCTCTTCTAATATTTAGTTGGTTTTCTTTAATTATAATGCGTTAAGAATTGTTGCTCATTCCCTGCAGGAACAACTTCCCAGAAATTCTTCGGGCGGCGACGGTGGTGATTTGTCGAAGGAACCTACAGATGTTGCTGCGGCCATTGTTGAGCACAGGCCTACCACCCCATATTTATCTCACGGCTGATAAATCGACACTTAATCGTCATACAAACCAAGCAATCTTGCTCGTTGTGAACTTGGATGGAAAAAGGATTGCAGTGCCTGTTGGTGCACCTCCTGTGTATTCTGTTGCTAATACAAGCGACAGTACTGTTCAGCTTGTGGGTGGTAGTGCAGAAGCTCTTGCTGATAGCATTATTGATACCATACTGGAAAAAACGGGGCTTCCTGAGCATCACTTGACGCAATTAACAGGTAGGGAGCTAGCTTGCTGGAATATTTAACAATTTTACGGTTTGTGGGTCGAATCTAGTAAAATGAAAGGACTGGTATGAAATCATGGGTGTCGCTACTAGAAAATGGTTAAAGAAATTAAATGTTGTCGATCATTTCTGCTATTTACCCTAACAGATGACTAATCATTCTATTGTGACGTGTTTAGTCAGCTTCCGCTCTTGCAAATAGATATGTTCTTTTCCAGGTGCAACGTGTGACGGACAATATGTTGTCTCGCCGGCATTTGCTACACGCCTTGCTGAGCGTGTCGGGGTCCCATCGGATAATATCTTCGCATTCCCCGTTACGTGGGACGCCGGCCATTGGATGAACTTGGTGGTCACGGATGTGCGCAATGTTAAACAGCCGTCATTCAAGAGTTCGTCACAATTCTTGAACACGTTTATAAAACGTTGTAATGTTTTTTCGGACGAGCTCCAACGTGGTAAAGGGTACGCGATGTTGAGAGCAACTGCTGAAGCCAGCAAGTCTATTGCGCATGCTCCCAAAAGTTATGCGCAACATAGGTGAGTTGGATTCAGCTTTTGTAATATTTTATTGTGTCTCCTAATTTATTCAAGAGATGGAGTAACGTGCATTAGTTACATTTAAAGAGCCTTTTTATAAATTTAGAAAGCCTTTCAAAACTCTGTTGAGATTGAAGTATTCGATTGTATCCTAAATAAAGTATTGATTATTGCACCCTAAATAAAGTATTAATTATTGTACCGTAAATAAAGTATTGATTACTGTACCTTAAATAAAGTATTTTTAAAGCTGATTTTTTTGTCTTAGCAGCATAAATTTTGCACCGTTATACGAAAGTTTTTTTTACAGGTAACGGATGAACGCCCAGATTTCAAGGACCATTTATGAAAATCTGTTGTACAGCCATCATTAGGTTTTTCAATCCATTTATCATTTTGCAGGTTTACGAGCTCCAACTTCCAGCAGTGGCTGAGCATCGAAAAGAGCCTTCCTGCCCTAGTGGAAGGGTTCCACGCAATGAACCCGCGTAGCAAAGACGATCCCAATGAAGAGCTCAAGTTTATGATCCAGGGGCAGGATTTTGTATACGATCTGGTATGCTTCTTTTATAATTATATTAACGTGATTGATGGTTTTCATTAGTTTTTCATGTGATTTGCAATATATTTTGAAGTAAAACTGCTCGAACTAACTTGAATTATTACTAACGAGAATTTAGGTCTCGTATTAACTATTTTTTTAACGGGATTCAGTTTAGAAGAGCGCTATACTGTTTCTCGTTGAATACTACTTAGCTTAGTTGCATGGAGTTTTTATTCTTTAGTTATAAATAACAGTATAAAACACTTCATAAGTATTTGAAGAAGCGTTATGTTAGAGCAATTCCCATTTTCCCCTCATTCAAATTATTTACTTATTCAAACTTGTAAAACTTCTTATTGAATCATTATATTCTTTACTAGTAATACCTTCCTGTTTATTACTGTGATTATTTTGGTTCTTTGAGATGTCAGTTCAATTACGCAAATGAGTAAGTTACGCGTAGATAAGGAAAGGATTATAAGATAATTTATCCTATTCTGTGCATAAAGATGTTGAGATGTATTCACAGAAATACCCTTTTCACAGCTTTTCCTATTGGATTTTCTGGGCCCACTCGTCCAGACGATGAATGTTCTTCAGGACTTTGCCGTTCCTATTTGGAAAGTAGTGAAGTTTACAAGAAGCCTCATCAATCACTGGGAATCCATCTCCGTGTCGACTTTAAAAGGGCTGCCTCGTCTTTCCATGCACCAAACGCAATTGGAAATGTTCAAGTATAATGGTTTGGAACTTCTAACAGGCTACTTGGTTGTGCATCAAGAGAAAGGAAAGGTCGCTTGGGAGGCTCGTGAGCTTGTGGACTGTCGTGCAGCGGCCGAAATATTTAAAAGAGATTTCGTGACAAGTCTCAAGAATCGCTCCAAACGATGCATTCACGAAGCGAGCACTGCTCTAGAAGAATGCTTCGATTTGCATGGCATATTTGCAAAAATATGCGGTGAGCGAAGCAAGAAAAAATCTGCATATGACAAAACTGCTCTAGCCTTACATGGCGTGTCATCGTTCAACAAATTTGTAGACTATGTAAGCAATCTTCCCCAAGTGAAGTCATCAGATTTTCTAGATATCAACCCTGTCCTTAGTATTACACTCTACGACAAGTTGAAAGAAACCCTGGTAGCATCAGTTTAGGGAGAATTGTTGCACGTAGTCGGTACTAAAATCTTCCACCAACTTTCTGGAGAGCCTATAAGCACGTTGGGTGAAGACTTCATTGTTGAAAAATTAACCGAAAAAGTTGAAGAGGGCTTCGTACTTGAAAATAATTTTTCAATGAAACTTTCAACTAGAGACGAGCCGCTAACTGTGGCATTGAATGAAGGCGTGCTGTACTCCTTGATCTTTTCCAATGAAAAGCTCTATAATATTTTAGGCAAAGAGCTGTGCTCATTATTGGACATGTCTCTAAGCTTGGGAGGCAGCGAGGCAATCGCGGAGTCTTACTACGCAGTCATGAAGTCCCAGCGCCATGATGGAGGTCAAGAAAACGAGACCTTGGACATGCGAACGCTTGTAGACTGGTCCCTGCCATCTGCTCGTCATTGCCCGAGAACAGTTTCGGAGATTGCACAAGTATATAGGAACGGAGATGCCCGTGCGAAAGTTGCGAAGCACCGATCACCTATCTTCTGTGATCAACGTGAACGAGCTTCGAAAAAATACTCAGTCAGTAAAGTTATTGACAGACACATGTCAGAGGAGAAAGGCTTGCCATATTTCGATTAATTCAAGGAAGATTTAGGATATTTTTTAAGCTTTAATTGCACACTCTGAAGTTAAAGGTAATTTATGTCTGCTGGATATCACTTCTGTATGCACTAGCTTGTTATTGTATTCTATATATAATGTTGTGTTCTTAAGTGAGATGATAACGAAGTAACCAGAGCAAAGCAAAGGCTAGAGTAAAGATCTTGTGATGCAACAATAAGAACAGACGCCGATCTAGAGTTAGTAAATTGAACTAAGTCATTTACATTAGTAGGCTTCTAGTATCAGAGGTCAATATTCAGTATTACTGTGCTTAGAAAATTGTGTGATGTCTTCGTATCTGTTTAATGCATTTTAGTTGCTTACCATAGTGCCATGTTTTTTTGTGTGTAATTCGTAGTTGTCAGAGTTGAAGTAGCATACGTGCACTTATTAATAAAGTTTTCGCTAGATATGCATGGCAAAAATTAAATGTGGACGCTTTAATGTTGAAAGAAGGGTTCTTTCATTATTATTATTATTTTGTTTTTGAAGTTAGATTAGCGGCTGTGAATTATTACAGAATAATAAACTTAAGTCGGGCAGTCTTCAGCATGGATTACTTTCAATGCTATTGAGGATTGAAATTATTCCCGCATCATTCTTACTAGTACGTAGGCATATTTTAACTACTTCCTTGCGTTTTTACATTTCCGGGAGGTCGGATGAGGATGTGCTGCACGATCCAAATTTCAGTTGCGAGGCAATTGTCTCTAGGACAACCTGTGAGTTGAAGATTCTGTCATTAAAGTTGTTTTCCGGGCAGCAGCGGACACTGATTGAGATTGATGCACCTCGACAGTACTAACTAACTAATACTACTCATTCATGGCTAATTGGGCAATTGGCTATTGCCTAATAAGAAATCTACTAAGCATTAGACTGATTAGTTAATGCCGTGACTGTATAGGACCCGTAAGAACGCTTTGTTTATCAACGCAATACGAACATACGACTTTCCTCACGTCCTATCCTATTGTCTACGTCAAGCCAGCATTAGTAGTCACCTGCTCTCTTTTTCTCTTAACGAATCATAGTGGATGAAAAGAAACGACAGTTCTTTGGGAATGCACTCTATATTTCATGGCTGTCTTTCTCAATTGTTTATCGGTTAACGAACGTTCTAGCAAACGTCAACATCTATCATCAATGATCAATGGACGGTAATGGACCGGATTACTGTAGTTATCCGAGGTTCTACTGCCGGCGACACATCTTGCACACGATGATGATACAGCTGGCGACGCGGCGACACATGTTTAATATTGCTGGCGACGCTTTGCCTTGAAAAAGTCTATATTGACGACGCATTCACCACTTTCTGCACCCTGGGTTGATGTCAGCATTACGTATCAGTTAAATTTGAAGCGCTGACGCAATACGACTCACCACGTGTCGAATATTGCCACACACAGTGACGGAATATAGGGATTTGGTAGGTTTCCATTCTAAAGGCTTTTTAATAAATATGGCAACATTTTGTGACGTTTCATCGTTGCTGACATGTAGTGAAGTGTTTTGAGAGTCACGTGAAGGCAACAGAACTTACGTAACGCATACGTTTTTTTTAATAGTTTTTCATTTCTCGATGTGTCTTTAATGTGTCGGAATATACCGCGTTTACCCTAGCCATTCATTTTTTGCTAAGTTCTTGAAGTGTCTGAATATACCGCAGGCGCGTTTACCCTAATGGGTAGAAACAATTTCACATTTTCAAAAATCACAGGCAAAAATGCGATTTTTCTACTCGCACAGTTACAAATAAAACTAGTCAAGGGCCTTAGGAACGGGTGAAATGAAATTTACCCTAGGACTAAGCAAAGGCATTTTTGTCTTGCTCATGGGTTGATTCCTAGGAATTTACCTATCATCCTATGGCCTATGCTATGCCCAATTTTCCAATGACCAGTTTGGGTAGGCTAACATGATCACACGATTCATATCCATAGCAACTCCAATGGAAAATTCCGTTCATAAAGTAACAAATTCAATACAAGTCTAATTATGTTGCAGCCAATTCATAATGCGACCAGTGACCATCTCGTCGAATTGAGGCACAAAATTATAGGCTACGTCAAACAAAATCCTGTGTTTACCGGCCGGTGGATTTCATCAAGACTTGCAACTTGATCTTTGATGCGGTCGAATTCTTATTTCAACCCGTGCTCTCACCAACATACCTTTTCTTTATCCATTTCTGCAACTTTTTATATTGAACTAGTCCTGGTAAATAGTCTGCAGCAGTATAAATCGAAAATTATTTCAGTCTCTACTCTCAGATGTGCGTTAACAGATGCATGACGCAGTCAGGTTCGCCGCAAGTGAACTCAACTTCCCGAGTCCAACGCAGGGCGCTCTTAAGTTCATAGAACATTCTCAACGTTACCCCGAATTGGATGAAATTACCCTAGTTTGGAATATTGGAGAAAATTCTGGAATATAATGTACGCAATAAACTACACATAGGAATGATTTTTTTTTCATATTTTAGGACGGCATGGGAGACTCATCCGATTGAACGTGGTCAACGCCATCACGCAGCAAAATCCTACGTATATGCAATCATTTTATTTTCAATGTTATAGAGGCGCTAAAATTAGGACTATATTATTCTCACGAGCTCTTATTGAATTGTACGGTTACAGTTTTTCCGCAAACGATAAATACCCACAAATTCCCATGATCTAAAACTAAGCATCAATATTTCTCGCGTGTTGCACACAAAATGTTATTGTGACTGCCAAGTTGTAATGAACAACGCTAAATTCTACAAAGAGTCTCTTTGAAGTTATGCGGCTCAGCTTCAAATCTCAACATAAACTATTACATCGCCAATTCACTTTTTCTCAAAAATACTCATATCAACACTGCTGATTTAGATGTTTAGTCATGAACTCTCTTGAGTAATATGTCAGTCTATACGGTCATATTTTCACTTGAACATTTCTCGATTTCACCGCTCTTGACATCACATGCGTTAGAGTCTTGTACAATGCACACGTTAAGAATAAGACCGAGGTTGAAATGGATTCTTTTTTTGGCGAGCCATTACAAGCTAAGATTGCATTGAGATGTAGCTATTGAAAAAAGAAAAAAAAAGAGGACAATTACTAAAAGATGTTGGCACAACTACATATTTAAATGATAAATTAGAAAATTACCGATTGAGAACATATGTCTTACACATGGAATAAGCGAAGAGACGTACTTGCGTATTCGGAATGCACGAATAAAAGCAATGTGGGATGAACTATTTATTCAAAGTTATGAAAACTTATGAGAAATTGTTGGCCACCACAACGGCACAAGGCACTGTGAAGGAGAAAAGCTAAAAATTGCTTCGCATTGATTACACGTTCGTCACATTTACGAAAATGATCTAGTAAAGTAAATACTGGGTCTTTTTTGGGATTACTTCCCACAGGGCATCCATCCACGTGTCTATCAATAAACTTATTAAAGAGAAAAATTCTATGATTCAACTTATATTTGTATGGTCAATGTTCAGACAAAATTTTTGGATATTACATACAGAAGATAAAAAAGTTAGCCTTGAAAAGGACATCACAGTTGAAGGATTTATTTTTTATATGACATAATAGGTAGTTTTTTAACTTGCATCACCTAGTATTCAAGTTTGTGAATCTGTGAAGAGAAGAATCAACAGTAAAATATCTTACCATGGAAGTAAATAAAATTATCATTCAAATTTCTATGGCAATTCAAGATCAATGAAATGACTATTCGCGCTTCCTCGCATGGCAGGAAATAGAGCCTGAAACTGATCAGACTCCTAATATGTGTTGCATCGCTTTAGACATGAAGCTATCGTTCTTCTTAGGCGTACTTGCAGCAGTCAACACCTGACAACAAAGAGAGTAAACATCAGTCTTGTTATCAAGACAAACCTCAAATTACTATAAATTTGTAAGAAATCATTAGAGTGGCATAAGAGTTATAACATCTTTACCGCGGAACACTTGAACCAGCAATGAAATCAAACCCGACCGACATTCAAGGTCGGAAAACTGAACCTTACCTGATTGTCTGTTGGAGTAACAGCATATGACTGAGTCAGGGATCGGATGCCAGCTTTAGGGGAATTGACTGCAAACGAGGCACTAGTGTTTCCCACGCTAACAGATGAAGCCAGCGGTAGATTTTTAGTTGTGCTAGCCAAAAGACTCGCGTCAGTGCACGGAATGACGCCAATCATGATGCTGCTGCTGAGAATTTTTCCGTTTAGTGCGAGAGCTTTTCGCGCTTCCAAGGGCGTCTGGTATCTTAGATGCATCCAGTTACCCGATCCTGGTAACCTCTGGTCAGCTATGGTGCCGACTTGAGCAAATTGTGTGAGGATAAACGATGCTGAGGCCACAGGGAAGCCAAACACCGTCACCCACTCGCATGACCCTGTCGAGGCTGCCGCAGACTCTCCATGCACCTGTTAATTCCAATACAATATAAAGTTTTGTATTCTATCAAAGCATTTATGAACGCGAACGGCAGATTTCTTTTTTACTTACAACTATGAATGAAGCATGGATGAAAGAAATATATCATGGTATATTTTAACAAGGAACAAAATAATCAAATAAAGTTAGCAGTAATTGATGACTCGTACCTCGTATGAAATAAGTGACGAGTTAAGGAAACTTTCAGAAGGTTGGTGTGATCCCCGCATCGGTGTAGCCGGGCTGCCCATTGGAGTATCTGCAATAATGATACAAGTATACAGAAAACAGTAATACAACTGATAAAAGTGTCAGTGCGCATAGGGAATAACAATCTATAGTTTAGTTCATATTAGTTATTAGTCTAATAGGAACAACTTAGTGCCTAAATATATCAAAACACCTTTAACGATAAATGTAAATAAAATGGATTATTCGGGGTCATGTAGGTCCGCCTTTAAATTACAACTGCGCTAAAAATGTTTTTTTTTTTCATTTGAAGAAAATTCTTTTCTCGTTGAAAACTGGTAGGTATGTACCTACATGATCTTATCTCATTTGTCATCAATGATGAGAATGTTATAGAAGAAGATCATATTGACGTGAAACAAAAGTGTGAGAAGAGAGCCAGCCACAGTACACAACGTTGACCAGCATTATTATATTACAATTCGTCCTGATCGTACAGGGGCTGGCAGCCCACTGCGGGGGTGGGGATTGTATTTTCGTGTCGAATTACAGTCAGGGATGTCAAATATTTTTCCTATCTTGATAACGAACCAATACTTACAAGAGCGTTTAGGCTGATTATTGATATTAAAAATGAATATTTAAATACATGCTTTTAATATCGGTTCTTGAAAACTAATTGACAACATTCAAAGTAAACAGGAAGACAACGTTACGTTTCTAGCTTAAGTACTACAATATCCACAATACAAATAAGTAGACCGCATCTATTGTTAGGGGTTGGTCACGGTCCTGATGGAGAAAGAAAAACACTAATGTAGAGGATAGGTAGAATATGGAGGACGGCATGAGCAGCATCCCCATATGATTAGGCCTGACGCAACGCCAGTCTCGCGGCCATACAATAAACAGCCTGTTGCTCAGCCCACAAGCATATAGGTATTAATTTGAAACACTAAAAACTATTCAGCATAAATCAAAACAGACAAAATAAAATAGATCTCAGACTAGGAATAGATAATAGTTGTTTTTAGCAATATTTTTACTAATAAACCAGTCATTTGTAAATCTCGTTAATTTTTATAGGATGTTATACAAAGGCAACCAAGAAAGTAGGCTACATTTTCGTGCGTTTTCTCAAAAAGCAAAGCAATTACGGCCACTCTGGTTTTTAGTCATTTTCCGTTCATTCGGCATCTTCAGGTGCTAGTGAGAGGGTCGCGCTGCTCGTTCAGTTTATCTAAGTTTCTGAAATGTGAAGAGATGCGCTTGAAAATCCCGCGAGTTGTGAAGTACGACCAGTGATAAAATCTCCTTCAGACCTGCGCTGTACGCATAGGTTTTCTCCAGTCCCTGGACCACGGGAGGTCTTCTCCAGACCCTGGACTGCAGCAGGTCTTCTCCAGTCCCTGGACTGCAGCAGGTCTTCTCCCGTCCCTGGACTGCAGCAGGTCTTCTCCCGTCCCTGGACTGCAGCAGGTCTTCTCCCGTCCCTGGACAACAGGTCTCTTCCAGCCCCTTAGTAGCAGCAGGTCTCCTCCAGTCCCTGGACTGCAGCAGGTCACCTCCAGTCCCTGGACTGCAGCAGGTCTTCTCCAGGCCTTGGACTGCAGCAGGCCATCTACAGTCCCTGAGCTAGTGTGCAATTGGCTAGTGTCGAAGGACGCACAATTTTACGATGAAACATATCCCAAACTTGCAAACCTCTCCAATAAGTGTGTCAAAATGTTTTGGAAGAATGTAGAAATGTATTGTTTAAATGGTGGTTCTTCCTAGTGTATGATAAATTTTGTTATTCAAATTTCAAAACATTTTCTACTCGCTGGCTTGCTCTCGCATGAATATGTGCAATTTGTCGGGACCATGTTGGTTTACACTCACGAGTGCGCACAAGATGATCAGGCATAGGGCTGTGGAGTCTGACACTCGAGGGAGCAGGGGACCGGCCTAGACTCTGGACTGGAGGCCCACGTTCAGCAGCTGCTCTCTCTGCATCATTACAACAACCAGCTTACAAACATGTCAGACAAAATTTCGTCATAATCAGAATGATAATATTGATAACAAATTATGAGCAAAGAAATGTGATGAATAAAAAAAAATCATGTATAGAATAAGCCTGGCCATCTACCTATGTATAAACATCAAGATCAATTTCAGAAATAAAGCCTTTTCCAGTAATAATTTGGAAAAGATGTCATCAATCCACGGCACACAATGTATGATGGGAACATAAAATGTAAGAAATACATCCATATTAAGTAGACAGATTAGGAATTAGTTGTTAATAGCAGAAAATAATATTTGCTCGCAAGCAAAATAAATGAGAGATTGAGAACTTTCTATTAACAGGATGATAAATTTGGAAGTGCGAAGATGATTATTGGTATGGAACAATTAGAAAACTTATCTATATTTTATGAAACTTAACCACACATTGACTGGGATAGATTATCCATGAGACTTGAGAATCCTGTATTACCTAAATCCCATTACCTGAAATATGGTTTCTAATTCCAAACCAAAGTAATATTGATTATAATATTCATAGCAGAGTGACCACCAATTAACCCATATTCAGCATGGAACTCGTGTTCAAATCTTTTTTCTAATTTAATGGGAAATTATAGATTTTTTGACACTAGTGAAACATGAAATATAAAAAAATCCAAAAAAGTTTGTTTCAGCTTTATATATTTTATATTAATCCTAATTACACTAATTAAATGAAGTTTCTAAGCCAGTTTATATACACAGATATAGAGATCCAAGCAATACATACGTAGTGCAGATAAGCACTCAACAAGGTATACATTTGGGTCATAAGGCTCGAACACACACATAAACAACAAATTTTAGTGAATATATAATGATGATAATATTTGCATGACTAATGAGCAAGCTGACCAAGTCTAGAGGAGTAATTAAGCATCATATCCCTGCTTGATGTGTTAGGTGACAACTGCCCTGGGTGCCCTCCACTGCCATAATGATGCCGGCTGCTTCCTGGGCTGCTGCTTGAGGGGGCTATGCGGCAATTCTGAAACATTAACCAGTAGTATTATCTATTATAACCTTGTATTTCAAAGATAAATGTGCTTCAGTAAATGAAAAAAGATAAATTTATATTCATTCAGAATTTATATTCATAAACTTTGCTGCTCATGTTATGAGAAAATGTTAATATAAAGTATAAACAGGAATGGTTTTTATGCTGTAAGAAATTCAGCTATACCGGTACTCCAATTATTGCATGTTCAATGCCCATGGGAATGTTATATCAGGAACTAGTGAGGGCTTACATTTCAATCTCCCAATATGTATAAAATGTGTGAACTACATTGTACAGTAAAAATTTCCTATATTTTTTAATGTAAGTTCAGAAAAAAAATCTTTGAAAAAAATTCTGAAAAAAATTCTGTAGGGCAAAATTTAAAGGAAGATCAGACTAACTCTTCTTTATTTGAGGTTTGAATGAGCATACCAGCAGTTGCCTTGCAGAGGCCTATGGTAAAAGTTCCTAGTATTTCAAAGCAAGATCAATTAAATAAACTTACAAGGTTAGTGTCTCCAAGTAGGAATGATGGGAGAAAAGAAGCTGCAGGCGTGCTTGGTGCACCAGGACTGCTAGCACTTCCAGGAGAAATTGGGCTACCAAGAAGCATTGGCTCCATGTTTGATTTATTTCAACAGAATAAAGGTAATGATAGTCAAGAATTTATAAAATATACCCTGAAAACAAATCAAAGTCATTTATTTTTTGGTAAATAACACAATTTATTATTTCAATTTATTATTTTATAAATAGGATCATTTTAGTAACTTCATGTTCTATTCTGGAAGTTTAGAGGCATTAGTGGATACATAAATCTACTACAGGTTCAAAATTGTGCTACTCCTGTAAAGATTTTCTAATGAATCAAGTCATCCAAACATATTAATATGTCACAACAACCAAGTTCATTAACACTTTGACTCAGATTGCTCATTTGCCACACTTTCATAACAGATGTTAGTAAATTTCACAGTAGTTGTGTTACTATAAAATACAAAAATTTAACATCACTTAGATATATAAATAAATTTGTGTGATCTTTAATAGATCAAAAATCTATTTCAAATAAAGTGATGAAATAATTGAGGCGAGACATGTATATGTACCACTATATCCATGAGTAATATACCCCATGTTACTCGTATCATCAAACTCGATAGTAAGGGATGGGTGGGGTAAATTGGGATGGTTGTCCTACATTTTGTAGAAATGTTGTAGCAGCTAAAGTGCAAAACTAATCAAAATATTGCAAAACTGAAAATAGTGTTGTTAAGTTCAAATTTTTTACTATCTATACAGCATAAAGCTAGTTAAGAAATCATAAATTTACTACATCTAAAAAATCCTCAAAAGAAGTGTGAAAAGTGAGATTTTGGAAAAGTACCTCAGCAAAGGTCAGTAGCAAAAAAAATATATATTTGCAATATTAAAAAATTTTACTTACTTAAAAGTTGCACACAGGTGTTGGCTCAAATATGTGACAAATGATGGAATTTGCATACCTCATTCCAAATATGGCAGCCATTTCTGCAAGACGAGGTAATAAGAGACACCCCCCAGTGTAGTAAGGGACACCCCTAAAAAGCATTTACAGTTGAACCTTGATTAGCAAAGGCTCCAGTTAACAAAAAAACTAATTAAAAAATTTTTTTATTACATTAACCTTTCTCAGCAATAAAACTTCACTTTAACAAAAAATTAATGCTTCAACGGGCATCACAGAATTGTGCATAGAATGTCATAGATAGACATAAGAATGAAAAGTAACTAACCTAAACTATGACTTATTTATCCAAAAAATATGATGGTAGTCACTAAAATATTTGTTTCTATTTCAGATATGTTTTTACAGTCTTTTTTTTTGTCATAGAGAATTCACTTGACCCAATTAAAATGGCATGAAATTACAAGCTGTCCTGTAAGCTTACAGATACGGAAGAAATGCTATACGGATGCTGATATGAAGCTTGCAGTGGGCAAGGTTATTGTGCATGCTCAATGGCATGTTCATGGATATGGTTATATCACATCAATAATATGGTAATGTATGGAAATGGTGATACATCAATGAAGGGAAAACAAGTAAAAGTCATAGAAAATGTCATTAATTCTACATGTACATCATCTAGAAAGAAAGAGAAGGACTTCAGAGTACTGTTAGTAACGGATGAATACATTTTGCATTCTTCAAACATTTTAAAACGAGTTTTATTACAAGCATCCCACAATACTCCATTCTCAGGGGTAATTTGGGACGCTTTTATTTTGCATCTGACACCTTACGAATAGCATATGGATTTTTTATAGCTGCCATACAATAGCCCTTGTAAAGAACTTTAAATTGAGCCCAAACTTGTTTATGAAATGTTTCATGGTAAGAAGTTATCAACAAAAAATGCTCAAATCCATCCCTTATTAACCCGTTTGATGGTATATTTGCACCACTTTGGAGTCAACTTGTTAACTTATTTATTAATTTTGAGGGCCTTGGAGCTGCAGAGGTACAGTACTGTGCAAATTAATTCAGACAGTGGTTGAAATAACACAATTATTTGCCACCTTGAAGTTTTATTTGAAAAAAAACCTGCCAATGGTGCAAAATATGATCTAATTAATAGCATATATGACCTACTTTCGCTTTTACAAGCATTTCAATACAATTTGGCATGGATTCAACCATAATTGAACACATTTTAGTCACTTGCTCATCATGATACCAGGTCCTAATTACAGCAGAAATTAGCTTTGCCATTGTAGAACAGTCTTCTTTCAGGAGTCTTTGTTTGATTATAGCTTCTGAGTTTTCAATGGGATTGATGTCTGGAGAATTTCCAGGCCAGTCTAAAATCTCCAGTCCACTTTCTTCAAAGATTGTGCTCATTTTACGTAAAATATGGCATGGCGCGT